ATTAACTCAAATATAAACTATAAACGTTTTAAATATAAATTTATTATGAAAATTTTGTAATGTTTTCAATTGTTATTTTATTATTAATTTTAGTTCAATATTATTTAGTAAAATATATATATATATATATATATACATATATATATATATATATATATATATATATATATATATATATATATATATATATATATATATATATATATATATACTCATATAGTGTCGCTTTAAGAGCATTTTAATGTAAAAAAAGTCTCTTACGACTACAATTTTAATTACCTCGTCTCTTAAGCTGTTTTTGATTGTCATCGAAATGTCAAAGCAATTAATTTATGCGGAAGTACATTAAATTTAATTGTTTTTTAAAAAATTTTTAAAAAACCGCAATTATAACGACTAGAAAGTTTTTTTTAATTAGTGGTGTTTTTGTTATTGATTTAATAAAAAACATTTTTTAAACATGCGTAAATGTTGCTACATCGACTATCTTATAGCCTGACTCGCAACGGAGTGCTGCTACATCGACTGACAAATAGCCTGACTCGCAACGGAGTGCTGCTACATCGACTGACAAATAGCCTGACTCGCAACGGAGTGCTGCTACATCGACTGACAAATAGCCTGACTCGCAAGGGAATGCTGCTACATCGACTGACAAATAGCCTGAATCGCAAGGGAGTGCTGCTACAACGACTGACAAATAGCCTGACTCGCAAGAGAGTGCTGCTACATCGACTGAGGGTTTGGTTTGGCCAGGCAGTCTATCAATTAAAAAAAAAAATTTAATTTTTAAAACTTTTTCTGGTCTGGTTTATTAACACGCTCTTTAAAACTACAGTTTATGGGAAATATTTTTTGATGCTACGCAAGAGACATGCAAGACTATATATATATATATATATATATATATATATATATATATATATATATATATATATATATATATATATATATATATATATATATATATATATATATATATATATATATATATATATATATATATATATATATATATAAATTATTTCTGAAATTTGTTTTTGAATAATTGTTTTTAATTGTTATTGAACAAAAATTTATGATTTTTTTTATTTTTAAAAATTTCTAGAGTAAACAAAAAATATTAACATTGATAAACGCAAACCCATGTTAATTATTTAAACAACGATTTTGTTTTGACTAGCAAAGAAAAATTTAAGTTTTTAAATATTTTTAAAATTTTTAAAAGCGTTTCAAACTTGCGTTTTATAAAAATATAAAAAAGTTTTGTCTGCTTTGTGCATATTTTTGGTATGTAGTTTAGAACGCGTTCGTTAGGAATTTAATTCATAAATTTTTTATGTTATTGTAAAAATATTTAACTTTTTAAACAAATCACAAAGAAACAGAGCTATAGAGAAAAATCGTTTTCAACGATTAAATCTTTTTTTTTTTTAATTTTAGGAAATTAAAAAAAAAATTAAATTAAATATAAAAGTCTTAACTATGCAAACTCTTTTGTTAATTATTCTTAAAACAAAAAAACAAATACTTCTACGCCAAACTTTAATCGTGCAAACTTAAAAAAACACTCAACTGAAATAATTTAAGCGTATTTAATAATTTGAATCGTATCTGTTTATAATAAACGTTCGTAAAAATTTGTTTATTAAAAATTAAGTTCCTTAACTTATAAACAAACTCAAAAGTATTTTCATTCTACGTATAATTACAAAACTCTTTTTTTTTTTCGTTTGTAAGCAATTTAACTTAATAAAATAAAAAAAAGAATAAATATGAGGTAATTTTTGTAAAGAATAAATTTAATTTATTTATTGAACTATATTTTTATTTTTAATTATATATCAACTTAATTAAAATATAGTAACATGTTAAAATATTTTAACATGACTTGTATTATTTATAAACCGTTGGGCAGTTGCCCTTACGGCACTATTGTTTTTGGATAATATTTTATTTTGATGAAGATCACATAACTTACATTTGATTTTAATAACGTAAGTTTTCTCTTTTTCTGTGATCATCGCATCGGCAAAGCATCGGCAAAGTCCCAAGATTTAAAAGTTTTTAAAGTAAATCTTTTGTCCTTCAAAATACAATCCATATTCCAACTTTAAACAATTTAGAGATAATAGAAATATACAAGGTTTTTATATACTAGTTTGTTTTGTTTTATAAAGAAAAATACATATTCATTAGTAAAAAATGGAGACTGTCATTAAACTAAAACGTGCCTTAGTATTTATTTAACAGAACCTGTAATGTGCGCGTGCATAATAAAACCTCCGTTATATAAATATATTCAATGTAATATTAGTGTCATCAGCAGATGTTGTAGTCTACTCATGATTTCTTTACTATATATTATAACTTGATTTATGAAAAAAAAAACTTATTGATTCGCACGCAGAAGAATTTTAACAAATTGTCTTCATTCAAATACTGCGAGTAACAGGTAATTTTTTTTTTCTGTGCCGACCCCCTCCCCCCGCATAACTTAAATTATATACTAATAAACTAATAAGAAAAGTTATATACTATTAAACTAACTATAAGCTATATACTATTAAACTAATAAGAAAAGCAAAGGCATTTTTTTTAACATCTCGAAAAAATGTCTTGATATTTTTGTTATCATGATAACAAAAATATTAAGACATTTTTTGAGATTTTATTAAAAAAAAATGTCAAATCTTAGTTACAAATTTTTTTGCATATGTTTTTTTATTATAAATTCAGTAAAAAATTCATAAAAAATCTATATTACAAAAAACTTTTATATTCTGTATTAATAAATATGAAATATAGATTTTTTAAAAGTTTTTTACTAAAAACTTTAAAAAATTACTACTTTTTATTAAAAACATTGCAAAAAATTTGTAGTTAAGGATTGACAAACAATTTTTTATGTTGCTAAATATTTGGATAGAAAGTTTAGCGTCAAATTAATTGCTATAAAAAGGAAAGATATATCGCAATGAAAAGTTACAATAATTATTTTTAAAGTAAATTCTTTTTTTTAATAAATACCTTTACATATCGTTATTTAAAAGTTAATGTGGTTTTTTTGAAAATTAATTACTTCTTTTATGTTACCGCTAATTTAAAAGTTAAAAAATGATAAAAAGTAGCTTAACCAAAACAGCTCTACGCGTACGTAAAAAGCGCTTAAGGCGTACATAAATCGCTCTAGGCGTAACGCTTTAAAACAAGGCCTGATATATATATATATATATATATATATATATATATATATATATATATATATATATATATATATATATATATATATATATATATATATATATATATATATATTATCAACACTCAGAATTAAGAAAAATGAGGTCTGCAATAATTTGCTGACTTTAATATTTTAGAGGTCGGTATCAGGTCGGCAAAAATTATTTGATACAAAGTATTTACCATAAAACATAGAAACAAGGTTGAGATTTTTTGTTGACCTCAAACACTTTCAGGTTGGCAGTTAGGTCGACATTGCCAAATGCCGACCCTAATTCCGAGGGTTGTAATATATATATATATATATATATATATATATATATATATATATATATATATATATATATATATATATATATATATATATATATATATATATATATATATATATATATATATATATGGGGGAAAGCAGGCATATGTATTAAGCCACATGTCATCGTTTACACTGAAAACATGCTAAAATAAATTTAATCTAAACAGCCTTCTTGTTCTTACAAATTTTAACCAATCAGACTGCCAATTAGAGTATAGAAAGTTGTCTTACAGCATATTATTGAAACATTTAGTCAATGAGTTGATTCCATGAAAGCATCGGTAAATCACAAACCACTAAAGTCTGAATCCAACTTGAAGTGCTTTTTTTTTTTTTGAGGGGGGGAAGGGGGGGGGCTGGCAAGAAGAAAATGATTGTTATAAATGAGAAAAAACAAAACTCCATTATATTAAGTTTACTGATGACATGTAAAGTTTATTTGGATTAATTTTTCTCAATTAAATGTTTAGTAAACATGCAATTTTTTTGTGAGAGTAAGAATAAGTGAGAGTTAATATAAAATAATGTCCCATATAACACGTTAAGGCTTGGTGGTCATTAAATTTTGCAACAAAATGTAAACTTTGTTTAAAAAAAAAATAATTTAGAAGAAAAAAGTTTGTTTTTTTAATTGATAAATTTACCAGCACTCCTCTTATGTTTGTCAGTCAATGTTAGCGCTCCTAGCATGCTCTACCTAATTGTCAGTTGATGCATGTAAACAGTAAAAAAATATAAATAAAAACATTCAGAATGTTTTTATTTTTATTAAGAAAATAAAAACATTTCGAATATTTTTAAAAATATTTTAGCCTAATAGTTTGCGTTTTAATGATTTTTCAAAAAACAATAAATTAAATTAGCCTCCTTAATTAAATCTAATGGTTTTGACATAAAGTGTACTTAATTTTGTCTTTATTAAACACAAAGAGTCGTTAAGAGACATTTTTTACCACAAACCGTAAGCTTAGATGTCAAACTATAGGCATATATATATATATATATATATATATATATATACATATATATATATATATATATATATATATATATATATATATATATACAACCCTTGGAATTAGAGTCGGCATTCAGAAATGCCGACCTAATTGCTAACCTTAAAGTGTTTAAAGTCGGCAAAAAATTGTCGACCTCGTTTCTATGTTTCATGGTCAGACCTTTGTATCAAATAACTTTTGCCGACCTGATGCTCTCTCGACCTGATGATCACCTCTAAAAGATTGAGATGGGCAAATTATTGCTGACCTCCTTTTTCCTAATTCTGAGGGTTATATATATATATATATATATATATATATACATATATATATATATATATATATATATACATATATATATATATATATATATATATATATATATATATATATATATATATATATATATATATATATATATATAGGAAAAAAACAATGTTTACTTGGTTATTATGTGCAACAACCATGTGACGGGAATATTCTGGAGGAGTAATAACTTCAGCATCTCTAACTGGTAAAGGAATACGACATACTGACAAAAGTTTTTTGTATTGCATCATAGTTAAAGGATCTTCACGTGAATAGTCAACAGGAATACTTTCACTAAAAATAATAAAGAAATTATAACAAATAATTAAAGATTATTTAGAATTAAAAATTAAAATAAATAGAATGAAGTAAAAAGAATAAAAGAAATAACTGAAATATAAAAATACAAGCCTAACTTAAAAATTTAAAACCTTAATTTAATAAAACTATTTTTCAAATATTTTCTACTTGTAACTAATTTTTGTGTTCTATTACAACATTTATCTTTTTCAAAATCATGTTTACAGAAATCAAGTTTAAAGAAATCAGTTTAAAGAAATCAGTTTAAAGAAATCAGTTTAAAGAAATCAGTTAAGAATTCAGTTAATTATCTCAAGGAAATTCTCAAGGAAACTACAAAGCAATTAATTCATATTTAGCCATTGGTTTTTGATATTCTGCTGTTCTTATATTAAATCTGTTGGTTTAAATATTAAACTTACTGATTTTGATATTCAATTTGTTAATTTTTGTTGACATCAAGCATTAAACTTCCCAATTGGAAAACTATTTAATGATAACATTATTAACAAAATACTAAGTTTAATTCCAACAAATAAATAATAAATTTAAAACAATAAATAAGAAACTGCTTAAATAAACAATGACCATAAAATATAAAATCTTTTCACAATTACTTTGTGTATTTGAGACAAGATTTTTTTTATATTTAGCTTAACGCATAAAAACACTGTTAAATTGTTTGAACCCACCCTGTTCTGTGTTCTATGCATATGTGAAAAGCAAAAAAAAAAAAAAAAAAAAAAAAAAACATTTAATACAGTAAAAATGATAGATTAAAACCCATTTAACAATTTCTTCTCCTTGCTTTTGACAGCCTCCAATTTCTGGTAAAACTGACTTATCCTTTACTAATGCAGACTAACATCAACCATCCGAACAGAAGTGTAAAACTCTATAACATCCATTCTTATTATTTTATTAAACCCCACACTATATTAGCTTTTAACTATATAATTTTCCAATACTGGATTACTAATGAAAGAGGATCACATCAGTTCAAAGAAATACACATTACTACAATAATAATAATAATAAAAAAAGATAAACAGTCAGCTAAAAATTAAATAACAATTAGTCTTATATGATCAACGAAGTATAACTGTTCAAGTCTTTAACAGCAATATCCAGTGGGGTGCAGAATTATAACCTCACCTGTATAGAAACCTTAAAACCATCTTTTAAAGTTTGTTGATCAAAATCTATTTGTAGATCATTTTTTGAAATAAACAAAATAATTTACATGAATCTATTTATACTTTAATTAACTCAAATTATAAAATCCTTTAAAACTGTGGTGCACAATTATAACCTCGTTATCTAAATTGCATCAAAAGCCATCAAAAAATAGTAGTAAAATCTGTTTTCAAATTAAATTTATTACATTTTCAAATTATAAAATACATTCTAACGAATACCAAGAGGAATTACACTCTCTGATGAAGAAAAAGGCAAGTTAAAAGCATACTGGTCATTGCGTTTATCAAACAGAGCAATTGCTTGAAACTGAGACACTCGCTACATTTGATCAATAGTTTTGTAAATGATCCAACAAATTATTGCACAAAGAATTAAAGTGGTAGAAAACCTATACTTACAGCTTGCTAACATCTATGCAAGACAAATAGGCGCTGATTTGGGATTGAAATGCTCAAAATGGACAGTGAATCGTGTAATTAACAAGTCAGGCTTTCTTAGATATACAAAAAAAAGCACATCTCCATCACTAATTGAAGCGCTCAAACGCATTTGTCTTAAATGGGCCAAGGACCACATGACTTGGGAAAAAGAATGGCAAAAAATTGTGTGGTCTCATGAAAAAATTTTTTATCTTGATGGTCCAGATGGCTTTAATTACTACTGGTATGACATAAAAAAGAGAAAATATTTTCAAAAAGAAGGGCTATGGAAGGCAGAGAAGTAATGATTTGGGGTGCATTCAGTTATTTTTGAAAAATTTTGATTGGCTTTAATACTACTATATTGAATGCTGAAGGATATAGAAATTTGTTGACTGGTCATTTCAATGATATTTTGCAAAAATTTTATTTTCCAGCAAGATAATGCTCCAATTCATAGAGCAAAGTCGAATGTCTCATGGTTTACCAGCAAGAAAATTCAATTATTAGAATGGCTAACGCTCTCACCTGATTTTTACTCCCATTGAAAACGTATAGGGCATCTTAGCAAGATGCCCTATACATTTTCAATGTATAGGGCATCTTGCTAAGATGCCCTATACATTTTCAATGTATAGGGCATCTTGCTAAGATGCCCTATACATTTGGGGCAATATTTAAGAATTTTGTGGCAACGGTTGTCCAATGTTATATTTTTCCACATACACCCACCACCCATAACACCACTAGATAAAAGAATAACTAAACAATAAAATTTTTAATTCAATTTTTAATTCAAATTCAAAACATTGCATCTCCTTCATTACAAAATTTTAGTTTTTCAAAATTTGAAAAACTTAAATTTTAATACTTTGATCAAGTATTACAGAGATGGTATCCCTGTTAATGCTTTTGTTGATAGTGTCGTTAGAATTCACCTATTTGTCAAGGAATCAGGTTTAAATCCTTTAACCATTCCTCTTTATACTTCTGCTGAACATCTCTTCACTCTATCACCTTTCTCATTGTTCTTTATCATTCTCCTTCTTCCCAAAACTGCACTCTTTTAGATGTAATTTTTGATCAAATTGACCATGCTCTTTTTCTTTACTCCTCTGCCAATATTGTTGTTATTGGTGACTTTAATGTTCACCACACAGAATGGCTTAGCTTTAACACCACTCACCCTGCTGACAACAAAAGCCCATATTCTGCAATTTGTATTTCTCGTTCTCTTATGTATATAGTTAACTTTGTAACTTATTTTCCAGACAACCCTAATAACTTAATTTCACTCCTTGATTTGTCTGTCTCTAACCCTAGCTTGTGTTTAGTTTCTCTTTATTCTCCTTTAGGTGGTTCCGGCCACCGGAAGTAATACCAGTTTGCTAATTAACTTGAATTTGCCGGTTAATTAATAAAATGGTATTACAATCCCTAAACAACAACAACCACAATAATAGTAATAAGTAATACATAATTTATTAATAATAAATATATAATACAATAATTATATAATACTATAAGTAATACATAATTTATTATTAATTAATATATAATACTAACATATTAACTTATTTATAAATAATTAGTAATATATAGTCTAATAGTTATAAAAAGATTTATTTTTAATCTATAAAGCAGAAAATTATAAGACCTATTTCTATGAATTGAAAATGTTTACATCCTACTTTTTAAGTAATAGAACACATATTTTATTTGTGAATTAATTGTGAATTAAAAAACAAAAAATGAAATGGCAACACACCTGTCAACCAAACCTTTAAAATCTATAATCGCTCTAATCAACTTTGCAGTGTACCTTTTGAGAATAAAAAATTCATTTGTGAAAAAAATTAAAAATTAGTAAAAACTAAGAAGTAAATGAAATATAATTACCTGTATTGATCAAAATCACTTTTAAAATCTTGCTTAGGGAAAAAAACTCCAGGACTTGAATTGATAATAACTGGTGCTCTGTATTCAAAGTAAGCGCAGTTATTCCACCATTCTGCTAACCAATTGTCTGTAACTTTTGCCTTTTCTTCTAACTTGTGCTGAAGTTCTTCACCAAGTCCACCGGGAGTTAAAAATTCAGAAACTATTTTTTTTGTTTTTTCAAGCTGGTTTTTATTTAATAATGGCTCGAGTGCTATAATATACTTATTCATAGTTTGATGCAAAGGTGGAACTGGCAAATGTGGCAGGCTATTTTCCTTTGCCATCATAACTTTTGGATGATAACTAACTTTGGTTAAATTTTTCATAATAATATTAGTCATTTTAATCTAAAAATGTAAACATTACTTTAAACTATTATCATAAAATTGACATTTACAACACACACACACACACACACACACACACACACACACACACACACACACACATACACGTAGACACATACACACACACAAAATAATGAAAAACCTACAAAAAACACATACACTTACATAAAATAATGAAAAAGTTATTTAAATAATACAATTTGTAAGACTTATTGTATGCACATACAATATCAATGCATATATATTGATAATAAAATGTTCAATTTTGAATAGTTAACTTGTGATAATTTGAGTTTATTATCATGCATGATTAATCATTGTTTTACTTCACTATATATGTTAATAATTTAATCTGCATATCAATGATCTATTAAACTAATACCTTGTTCTCAATAAACCTTCTTCCAGACAACAGCATTTTTACAAAAAACTATTTTCAATGGTATCTAAATTAATAAAGTAAAATTATTAAAGTAAAATTATTGAACTTTTTAGTTATTTAATTTGAAGTACAATCTTGTGAGAATTATGTATATTGTCAAGAGAATTTTTAAATTATTACTTTGTTGACAGCAATTCTAACAAAGTAATAAATCTCTTTTTAAAATTCAGGATGTGAATTAGTAAACGATTTAACTTTAAATAGATATATTTATCGGCTTTTGTTAACTTAATTTTATTAAGTAATAATAAGTGCCTCAAGGGATAAATAACTTTTATTTACTATTTTACTAAATAACATTTATTAAATAGATAAGTAAAATAAATAAAAACTAACTTTCAAAAAAGTTTGTTTTTTTTTTGTTTTTTTTTACTTTATTATACAATAAAAATTTTAACAATTAGCTTGTTAAACAAGTTTTAATAAATCTGGGTGAGAAAAATTAGAAAGGGTCAAAACAAAATTGTTAAATTTTTTACGTTTCTTTTTGTATTACATTTTTGTTTATGCTTATAAAATAAAATACAGTCTAAATTATATTATAAATTATAAAATAAATATTTATATATATATATATATATATATATATATATATATATATATATATATATATATATATATATATATATATATACATATATATATATTTAAAAAAAAGGGTGTTTTTTTACGCCCGATAAACTTGATATTGTAAAAAATAATAGAATAAATTAAATTAAAATTAAACATTTTTTTTATTTGAAAGATTTTTCATCAGAAAAATTTCAAGAAAATTCATTGTATAAACAAATGAAAATGATTAGGGACATATGGGCACCACATCGAAGTGCATTTTGGACGTCCGAATGTCATCCGTGTTTTCAAAAAAAAAATCTTTAACGAAATCGGCAAGGATCTCCATTGATCGCAACGCAAGCCTGATTTGAAGAAAGGGCCCAATAATGTCACCAGCGTGTAAACCGCACCAAACGGTGTATTTTTGTGGATGTAATTGGTCTCTTCTGAATTTTTTTTACTCCATATGCGACAATTTAGGTAATTAACAACCAAAAATAAGCCTCATCGCTGAACACAATGTGGCGATAAAACAACTGGACTGTTCAGTTAGCATTTGGTCTAAAAAAAGTCTTTTAAACGTCTTTCGAAAGTTCTGAACGCCTTTTTAAGGCTTGAAAGACCAAATCAGTCCAAATCCTGGCTAGGTTTTGGCTTTGATTCTTGCACCAGCTGGATTTTGTATGGGTGTAGCCCGAGATTTTTGCGCAAAATTTTCCACGCAAAAGATGGAAACAGCCCAAGTTCTTGCTACCAGCAACGAATTGATCAATTTTGACCGATATTCTCTTCGGTACGCACATTCCTCTAACGTTTTAATTTCATTCCATCCTCTAGAGTGCTACAAAATTGATTCACAGTTTGACTGATGCTTACATAGACGGTGGCTTACAACGATACTTGCTTAAATGGAAGATTGTTTGCGCCATCAAAAACATAAAGTTCTCTATGAGCTAAGCAAATCGAACACTTTTTTTTAAAGTAAGTTTGAATAAAAAACAACGCTTGGCGTTGTTTAAGCATTAGTCTATTCATGATGATTTTCATACTGAATCAAATAAAAAAAAATTTATCAAGATTTTTTTTGTTTTATTTTTCACAATTACATTTTTTTTTTTTACTATTATTATTTTTACAAATCTTTTGTTCTAGGTGTTCCAAGAAGATATAACGGTCTTGCCACAGAGCACCGCGGAAGAGCATTTAACAAAGATGTTCATGACCTTTCTGACCGACTCCCAGAGCTCGAATTGAACTCTTGATCTCTTGCTTCTTAAGCAAGCGCTCTAACAACTGTGACATTGCTGCTTATTTGATAAGTGGTGAACCTTTAGAAATTGTAGAATTTTTCATTACAGGTTCTATTGGCTCGGTGGAGTTTAGGTGAATTATAAATCATTCAAATTCTAAAATTTGGAATTAACATAATTTGACCAGCGTTTTATGTACAAACAATAGCTTTAAACTTTATACAGATATGTACAAAAGTTTAATCAAGTTTTCCATAACGACGTGCTAGTTTTTCTAATATTAAAATTCAACATATATTTTATCTTTTTTGTTTTGGGCTGTTTATGTTTGTATTGATAAAAAAGACGAAAAAAAAAATATTTTCACATACTACACTACTTCTGTAAAACCAGTTGAACCTGTTGACAATGTATTTTACTGATGACTTAAATGTTTAATCGAGTTAATTAGTTATACATTTTTCACACTTCATAACTAATTATTATACTTAATTATCACTTTAAAGGATAAATATAGTGAATACTCGTGATTCTTAAATAAAATAATAATTTCAAAATTACAAAAAAATATTTTATTTGATTAAAATTAACTAAAGAGTGACTGCAATATTTTAAATTTTAATATGCTCGAAAATAGGTAGAAAAGCAGTGTCAGAGAGCATCAAATGGCAAAATATTAGACTGGTCAAATCAAAGAATCATAACAACGTTGAAATTAGTAAACTTAAGTGTTTTCTGAATTTTGCTTGCAAAAAACAGAAAAAACCTCGGAGCTGACAGCGAACATTGTTGACATGCCTTGTTCCGGAAGACCACCAAAAGTTAGTGACCGCGACAAAAATAGCATATTCAGAATCAGTAGAGAAAATCTTGGGCTCAGCAACAAAAATCTAGAACAAATATTTAACTAAACCTTTTCTCATTGAAATGTAAGCAGAAAACTCGTTAGAAGAACTTTAGGTTGAAATGTAAGCAGAAAACTCGTTAGAAGAACTTTAGAAAGTATTAGGTGTTAGATTGCAATAAAAAAAGCCTATCTTGTCAATCATGGATCAATACCAAGTACAAAAATGGTGCAAAGAACGTTTGTATTAGGCAGTTGAAGGTTGGGCAAAAGTGATTTGGAGCGATGAGTCAAATTTTCAGGTTACAAACCGTTAAAGAAGAATATACGTTAAAAGATTTGCAACTGAGAAATATTGTGAGCGCTATTTCAAGCAAAACGACAAGGTGGTGGAGGCTCAGTAGGCATATGAGGATGTTTTTCCCACAAAGGTTTTGGTATTTGTGAGCTGTATCATACGTTTGACTCCATCGATAAAGGAATTGTATGGCAGAATCAAGCAATACATCTTTCAGCAACACGGGGCTCCAGCACACACAGCACATAGTATAACACACTGGCTTAACACAAAGAAGATCAGTTTGTTACCTTAGTGCCATAGGTCATCAGATATCAACCCAATAGAAACTATTTGGTCATGGACCGATACTCAATTGGTAAACCGTCAAATTCAATCAACTGAACATTTGAACTTTTGAACTTTTTATTGGTTAAAAGTGCCATATAAAATGTGCATGAAATTGGTCAAATCAATGCAGAGACGAGTTTTTCTTTGCTATTGAGCCACTGAACATTAAAAGATAAAATTAAAAAAATATACAAATTTAATACTTAAAATTTGTATATTTTTTAAATTTTATCTTTTAATGTTCTAAACCTTAACTCGATTAAACTTTTATGCAACTCATTTTATGATCATATAATTGATTATTTAATTTTTTTTTAATTATTATTTTTAACTTATTTTATTAATGTTAATTGATTGTTTTTTTAAAAATAAAAATAAATTCATTAAATTCATTTTCCTGATTTATGTCTTTATAAAATCCTGAAAAGTTTGATTAATATTGATCTCGATTGAACTTTTTTTAATTATTACCTGTTTCTAAAAAAATTTAAAGAAAATAATTATTACGTTTTTCTAAAAAAACTTTGTTTTATTTTTAATAAATTTTAAAAATCCTTTAAATTTATTAAAAAATAGAACAATTTTTGGTCTTTTGATTTACATAGAACCTAGCTAATTTTAAGTTTTAAGATCTAAAGTAGATTAACTGACCCAAAGTTGGGTTAAAGACCTTACTCCTCTTTAGATCCTGGTCCTGACTTATTCTGTTCCCAATTAACAAATATTATTATTGTTATTATTATTATAGTTGTAGCCATAAAATATACATACCATATATACATACAGCGAGCAGGAAAAACACCCTACTATAAACGACCAGTTTCATAAATATTTGTTCCGAATTTTATCCTCAACCAGTGACCTAATCTAATTTTAAAAGAAAGTACAATAAAGCATAAAGTTACTTGCTCGGGTAGTTCATTCCAGTATTTTGCTGATCTATTATATAATTGGTTGTGCCTTGGAAGACAGTTTGGAACATATTCATGACTTATTTTAAGATGGCGACCACGAGTCAATCAGTTAAAAAATTTTGGTTGATATATATTATCAATTATACCAAATCGATGTATTAGTTTAAAAATTTGTATTAGATCGCATCGTAGGCGATCTCAAGTTTAAAACCCATTTTGTTGCTTTACGTTGAACAGATTCAACCGAAGCTACGTCATTTTTTAAATACGGGGCCCATACAGACACTGCATATTCAAGGTGTGGTCTTATAAACACTTTAAAATATTTGAAAGCCATTTTTTCATCAACGATGGTGAATGTCCTTTTTAGCATACCAAGAATTTGTAAAGATTTAGAGACAATTGATTGAATATGTGTACTCCACTTGAGATTAGATGTAAAAATGACTCCTAAATCGCGCTCTTCAATAGAGCCTCTTAGGCTTTCATTTATACCTTGGTTATTTTGCAAAAAGTAGCTATACATAGGATTGGTTTTATCATAATGGATTACACACATTTTGAAACGTTTAATTTAAGTAACCAAATGTTTGACCACTCGTATACTAAGCGTAGACGGTCCTGCAGATCAACAAAATTAGTCTGCGATAAAGTTTTAGAAAAAAGTTTAGTATCGTCTGCAAATACTTCAGAAGTTTCTGTAAGTTGGGCAAGATCGTTTGTAAAAAGAATAAAGAGGAGCGGACCAAGAACAGAACCTTGAGGAACACCACAAAGAACATGAACCCAGTCAGAGCTAGTATTGTTAATTGTAACGCATTGCTTTCTGCCTACTAAGAAGGAACTAATCCATTGTAGTAGTTAGCCGTTTATTCCGAATGATTTTAATTTTAACATGAATCTGGTGTGAGGTACGGAATCAAAAGCTTTAGCAAAGTCGAGGTAGATTACATCTATAAACTGGTGCGATGCTAGGGAAGACAAAATAATATCAAAAGTATCTACTAGATTGGTTACACAACACTTTTATTACTTAGAAATAAATATTTTGCACATGAACCAACTTACAGAACAAAGTTTAACAAATTTTGCATTACATTTTGAGCACCATATCTTTGGAATAAAATTGTTATATCTAATTTTGATATATACAATACTTTTCCGGCCTTAAAAATAAACTTGAAAATTTTATTCTATCTATTGATGATATATTTAAATACTTTTTATAACAACCACGTATTTGTTTTTTTCTATTTTATTGGAAGACTGTTGTATTTTTTCTTTTCTATTATAAAGAGCTGTCTTACTGAATTTACTTTGCATATATATTTGTATATGGTATATATATTTGCGCTTTTATAAGTTCTGACAAGATCCAACTTTTTTTTATTATATATAACAGTGGTTTGCAATTATGGTGGGGGTGCTGGGGTGCAATTATTGCCAACAATCGAGCTAGTTTACACCATTAACAACAACTGTCGATTTCGCAAATAAATTAAAAATTTTGAAAAGCAGTGTCTCATTGCTCTTAGATTTAAAAGTTGCCCAATAGCCTTAATTGCCATGAGGTAAAAATTGTCAAGACACGGCTCCAATAAAATTTGAATAATGTTCTTGTCCCACGGTCGGAAAATTCACTCATTTCAAACTCCGTCAAATTGTTAATCAAAATCGAAAACAGGAGTTTCTAAACAGAACTTAACCAACCAGCATGTTGTTTTTTGAAATCATAGCAAGATTTGTCTTTGATCTTAGCAATTTATTACTATTTTCAATTTAATAATCGGTTGTTATATATTTTAGTCTCTAAGCCATTAAAAAATTTTATATTGTTAATATTGTTAATACTTTTTAATTTAATACTGTTATATTGTTAACCTTGTGCATATCTAGCGTATACTCGTAATAACGGATAAACTTATTTTCATATACAAAACCCTAGCTTTGCTATATAGCGTTTAAATGAGATTTATTATAAACGACATTTATATGCAAAAAAATAATATAAATTTGTTTCTTATTACAAAATATTAAATCGTTAAAAAATTTAAAAAGTTTGATTGATAAGTAGAATATAATTATCCTCCATTGCGCGCGCAATCGATTCACCGAAATCTCCTGCATTTGTATTTAAGTCGCTATGGTAAGCAGACACCACATATATAAATTTTGTTTCCATAGGATTGTAGCATACACCATATCCATCTGGAACTTCAGGGGCAAAAATTACACCTACCATATGTGAAGAAGCGATCTGAATAGAAAGATTATTAAATATTATCAGAATAAAATTTGTGAATCTAATTAAAAACCTAACCGGGGGAACTTATGGAAATTAGATATAATAAAGAGAAACCTTAAACAAGCAAAATTACTTTCAATAATTAACTGTTAAAAAATATATCATTATTAATATATTATTATTTAGTATAAGCCGAAAATAAAACGTACCTGGCTTGAACATAGATGAAAATACATGGCGTTTTTATAGGCAGTATCACAAAATACCTCAGGTAAAGGTAGTCCTGTGGATAAAGCAGTTAGCTTTAACCCAAGCAAATGTCGATCAATAGCTTGCAAATTAAGAGCCTAATATAAAATTATCAATGTCTTAAAGAAAATAAATAAAACGTCATCAACATTAGTATACATTTATACTATGCAGATATTAAATAATAAAAAAATCGTAAGGCAATTACCTCGTTGGTGTATTGCACATGCGCTTCTATAGCGTTCAAAAATAATTCCTTTTTCTCAGTAATCTGAAAAAAAATTTGCAATATAGGTAGTAAAAGTTTGCTTATGTTTTTAATACAAATCTATAATTTTGTAATTTTAAAATTTATTAATTTAATGATACATTTTTACTGCTGTTATCCATTGCTTGAACAAACCTAATAGCGGCAGGTGTTGCCGAACGAATGGTTTCTGTTCTTCCCTTGGCAAACTTTCGAATTGAAGCAGCCTCAAATGTTGAAGGGTGTTGGTTGTGCAGTCTAAAACATAAAAAAAACTAATCTAAAACAATTAAGTTCATATTAAGTTTTCTAACCAAAAACTGCAAATATATATTATATATATTATATGCTAAAAAGTAAAAGACGCAGATATTAAAATTTATCATAATTATAAAGCAGCCGTCAACTCACCAGAATCGTTGTTTTAGACAAAACTTCGTCATGTCAAACGCCAGAAACGCCAAAAAAAAAAATACTGTTTATAAATAAAAAAATCATTATCCCGAAATTGATATTTATTATAGTCTGCTTTTTATATAAAAATCTCTGGATTTTTTATTTTTAATATGCATTTTTTGGCTTTGTTTAAAGTCGTAAATAATAGGGGGAGGGGGGGGGATCTCCAAAATTTTATATTTCTTGTTTAACCAGTAATTCGTAATTAACTTTTTGAGAAAAGTTTAAAAAACAATTCAGTTTTTGCTGATTTTTTATGGTTGACCTTCTACTTCTATTTTAATAATTTAAAGATATAAAAAAATAAAAGTCTTTGCAAAAGTTTCTTTGCGTATAAAGTTACGCAAATTTTCTTTCAAATTTATGCTATTCAAATTTTGATTGGATAAATTTGATTTTTAATCGTTGTGTTTTGGAAAAAGTTTATTCTGAAGTCTTTTTCTAAAAAAACGTTTTAAATAAGTAGAACGACAGATTGCTTCAAAAAAAAAAGTTTTATCTGAAGTCTTTTTCTAAACAAAAACGTTTTAAGTAATCAAAAAGACAGATTGCTTCAAAATACTTAATTTCCTTTTTTTTCTTTTTTTTGTTCGTTATTCAAGCTATCAAGAAGGCTATTCAAGATTTCATTTTTTTTTCACTTTTCTTTAATGAAGTCAAGAATAAATCTTCTTTTAAAGTGCCAGTCAGTAGAGGTTCAGTTAAATTCTAAAGTTTTAACAATTCTAAAAATAAACAGGCTAAAGGAACACCGCTACCTAAAAGGCTTTATAAAAAACAAACTGGGTGATCAAATTTTGAAATTTTCTGCTTTACTCTAAAACGAAGTGAATAGCTAGTTAAAAAAAATTCTAGAAGCAGTTAATAAGTATAGCTCAAAGAGGTTGAATGATTGCATCTTTCTCGCTAGAGTATTTTGGCAATTGTTAGCCTCAGGACTTCAAAAAAGATAAAAGTATTATGTGTTTGGTTGATGATGGAATATGATTAGAATTAACTTTCTAATTAAGTTGTTGCAGTTGGAAAGCTTTGGAAAAAATCCATTTAACTTCAACAGTAGATGTATACTTAATTATTTAAACCATATAAAAAATGAAGGTTCGCGTAGTTTAAAAATATTTTAGAGAATTATTGTCCAGTTATTTGTCCGAAAAGTTGAAACTATGGAGTATAGTTGAAACCAGCTACAAAAACAAATGGATAACAATGGAAGAGCAGCAAACTTTACATCAGGTGTGCAAGATGAGTTCTGTTTTAGCTTGATTAAAGTTACAAGGCAGTCCATTTAGCTGTGAACTAGACATTATTGAAGTAGATAAAGATATGTTAAAATGAAAAAAAGTTCGAAAAATGAGGTTCTTTATTTTAGCGATACATTGTCGCGGAGGTCTATTCTGTTTAAATACATGATTGTTGATATAAAAATACAAACCTCCATCTTATGTCTACCAAAGAATATGCTCATAACCTAGATGTTCTATAAGGAAAGTTCATGCAGCAATCTCTATCACATATGATGACTTTTATAGTTATTTTCCATTTTCAATAGTAAATAACAAACTGTATGAATTATTTTCATATATAATGCTCAATTTTTTTTGTAACATATAAATGATAAAGTATATTATTAATAAATTAAACAGAAAAAGATTTCTAGTTTTCTCCTTTTCTTATATTTAATGATAATAATTTCATCTATTTTTAACAATGCCTTTTTTTGTCAATATATTCACTTTTATTTAAATTGAAGTAGAAGGCTACATAATTAAAATGAAAAAAAATGATTATGATTTTCAGAATCAGCATGAAAAACTAATTAAGAAAAATTAGTTAAACTATAAAAAAATTAAAAAAAGACGATTATGGACCCCCCATATAACCAACTACTAAAATTCGTTTTCAAACATCTGTTGTTTTTATTTTAATAGAAATGAGATTACGACATGCTTTTTTAAATTAACAAATACGCTGCCTACAAATTTTCCTTCCTAAATACTATATAATTATTTTTTAGCTGCATAACTGTTAGTTGTGTTGATTCAAATTAGTAACTTAAAATTATTTTCACATGCACTTATTACCCGTATAACGCACATGTACGCGTCAAAATGCGCGTTAGAGAACTTTGTATTTGTAAATAACATTTTTAGTAGCTTCCTTGACCCAAGTTATACCATTATTTTATTATTACAGAAACGCTCGCGCACGCGTTTAACACTCGCGCACGCGTTTAACTCTCGCGCACGCGTTTAACATGCGCGAATTTACTAAACGCGCGTAGACATGTATCAAATCGCGTTATGAGTCTTTAACGCAATCTATAATACTAAAATAAACAAGTTATAATATTTAAATTTTTTTACAATTTAAATTACTAATAAGTTCACTACTTCTGGAGGCAAAGTTCTGCTTTGATAACTCCTGTGTTTTACAAATGAAATGCTTGAGATTTTTGGATCCGATATAATCAAAAGGTAGTGCATCTGATCTTTCATTGTGTTAATTCTTGATATTTTTGTTGTATGATGCAACCTTACATTTCGGATTTGCTTGTTTAGACTTTCCTGAGCTTCCTTAGAGTATTGGGCAATAAGCAAATCAAATTGTTTTGAAATGGAGCAACCATGTATCAGAATTTTGTTAACACTGGGTGGCATTATTACCAACCATATTTATTAACTATAATTTTAGTTGTATCAGTACAATAAACTTCAAATTGATTACTATCAATATGGTACCAAGAAGATAATGTAATAAAGACAACGTGCATTCTCTTTATAACTTCCATATCAACCCCTGTTATTTCAGAGAAAATCGCAGAGTTCTCAAATGCTCTTCTTGAAGTATTTCCATCATTGCTATTACCAAAGCCTACTTTGGGCTGGTCAACAATGAGACTCAACTTTTCTTTGAACTTTGATTTAATAAAATTCTTCTTTAAATTTATAGTAAGCTTCTCTTCTTCAGTTCTGGCTTAAAACTTCTGGATTTCTATTTTATAACCTAAATGTAAGATGAATTCAAAAGATCTTATCCAACAGTTGAAATTTGAAATACCTAGTTTATGGGCTTTCTCATTAACAGGCTTTTTTTAACTAAATCTATATCATTCATCTCTTTGGGCTTACAATCACACACATTACAAGACTGAGTTGACTTAGTGTCAGTCAATGAATTTATTACTTTTCCATCAAACATGGTCATATCAATTTCAAAAGTAACCTTAATAGTTATTACTGTACCAGCAATATTCAAATCTGTTGAGAAGGGTTTTAACTGATTCATTTGAGTTTGAAGATCATTTTCTTTTTTGCACAACTCTGATGTCTCTTTTTTATATTGCAGGTGAAGAGGTCTACAAAAATGGCAGCTAGAACTTTTAGAATTTTTCCAAAAGTCAATGTTTTCAACTTTAAACAGAAGAGGTACAATTGCTGTGCTAAACAGGCTATCTTCTTGCTTTGATTCTTCAATAAAATTAAGGTTATCAAATTTTTGTTTTTAAATACTTTGGCTTGAAGCTCCATCAAACCCAATTTTTACATATAAAATTCCATTCATCTCAACTTTACAACTTTCCTTCAAATCAATCATATCTATAATCCTAGTAACTGTATGATTCAGCATATTTTGTAATGAGCATTTTGCTGACATTTCATTAAACTGAATACCTTCTGGATAACATTTCAGCTTTTCTTCCCCAAGCTTATTAAGACTAGGATATATTTTTACATTGTGAGAAAGGGATGAATTTCTCAACATTTGGTATTGTAAATCACTTAAGTTAGTTTGCATTTTCAGAGCAAGAACCTCCTCTAGTTTCATAGTTGTTTGAGTCAAGGAATCAATACTTCTTCTCATCTGAGCTACATCAACACATTTATAAGTTCTTTTCAAAATATAAGCTGAATCGTTTTCATCTGCTGCTTTAGCACTCTTTGATGCAGCAAGAGACAGAGCTACATGGCATTCATTAGCTAAATCTGCAATCTTTGCTCTTTTACTTCTTTCAGAAAGATCTCCACATTTCTTAACTGGTCTTCCTGGTCTAGGATGAATAGACACACTATAATCAATGAGATATTTTCCTAGCCAATTATTTTCGTACTTTAAAAACTTTTCATAGTTTCTACAATATTTTTTAAGCTCATTTTTCACTTTTGAAATAAAAATCTGTACAATTCTTTTTAGTTCACCAAGTTTATCTTTAGGAATTATTTCGGATTTTTTGATAAATTCGATAAGTATTTTAGGAAGTGCTTCGTTATTTGCTTCAGATTCGCAAATTTTTAAAAATAGATCCAACCTTTTCATTTTACTTTTAAAGCTTAATTTTTTCTTTACCAAATTATATTATGATAAGTCTTCTTTAATTTTCAAAATAAAAGGTAAATACTAGATTGTATATTATTACACAAACATCCGAAAACTGTTTTTAAATCGAAAAGGGAGGGGTGGGTGTTGCTTTTGACAAAACTATGCATGAATCAATTTAAAATATCTCCTTAAGGAGCAGGAAGTTGCAGCAAATACTGTAGGGTTATAGTTTAGTGTTTTTTTTTTCACTAAAAGTGAATGTGGAACAACATGGAACTTTTTTTTGGCTAGCACTTATGTTTAAACTTGTGTACTAAAATTTTAATTTTTAAAAGAAAAATTAAAAAGAACTTGTTTTTTTAATCTAAAAAAAAAAAAAGTAAATAAATTTTAATATCTAACCACTCATTACTTTAACAAAAATAATAATAAAGTTTTGCATGGAGGTGGAAAACATGGTTGCTTACAAGATAACCATACCTTAAATTTTCATAATTTTATGGTGATAACTTTTTACACATATATCCATTTAAAATTACACAATAATAATATCTGTGAAATTATTTAAAGTTGATTTCAGACCAAAAAGTAGTTTACTTTAACATTTTAAATTTAAAAACGATAAAACTTTCACTTTTTTCCCCGTATTTTTTGCCATTTTTAGGTTAATCTGGGTTACTGTGCGACAGTTTAAAACACAAAACATTTTAAAGTGCTTGTAAAAAATAATAAAATGATACATAAAACAATAACAAAATAATGTTGTTGTTTTAACCAATGGATTTAAGTTTAAGATGACAACAAAAAAATTTAAAAAATAAATAAAAAATTTAGAATAAAAAATACGAATAAAGTAGTATAAACTATTTAATAGATTAAAATCTAATATTTATAACAAATAGATAAAAACTAAGAAAGTTTACTATCTGCACTGCAATTTTAACTGTCGTATCTTTGTGTACCAACTATACTGTAATAAAATTTGAAATCCAAACCATAAATTATGATCCTATAAAAAATTTCTTTTTAAAAAAGTAAATTTTCTTTAACTGGATAACAGCAACGTTCTATGATGTACTAAGGTATTGTTTTATGATAACAAAAAAATTTTTTAAAAATAAATAAAAATTTATGATAACACCTTTGTAAATTCAAAATTGAAAAAAATTAACACAAATATGTCAAAATTTAGACAAATAAGTTTAAACAAATTATGTCAACTAATAATTTGTTTTGAACAAATTATTTCTAAGAAACTAAGAAATAAACAATAATAAGAAATAAACAAGTGTTTGTAGTTTAAAACAAAGTTTTAAACTACAGACACTAAAAACTAATAACTAGTTTGTATAAATATAAATTTATAAAATAACTTTGTGTAAAAATATTTAGTATAAAAATATATAAAAAACATTAAAGATCTAAAAGGTTTGATTGATAAGTAAAATATAATTATCCCTCCATTCCACGCACAAAAGTTTTTCCATAATTGTGTTTTTGTTATCTCAATAAAGACAAAAAATGTTTAGAAAAAAATCGGTCAATCATTCAAATAGTATAGGAGTTTGTGGACACTGGATACAATTTGGACATGAATTCTCATCAGAAGTTGTAGAGTTGCAAAACAAACCTACATTTCAAACAGAAAAGTATTTATATCAGTAAAGCTGTAGAAATCTTTTAAATGATCATCGTCAAGTTAGAAAAAATATCGCAAGAATGATGTCAAATATTTGGTCCTGATATTCTCCATCCTTAAAATGAAAGAAACTATTGAAAACTTTCTAAGACATCTTTTAATAAATGCAAAGAATCCAAATATTGCTGAAAGATTTGATTCTTGTTCATTAAAAAGAAATATCAGTTGTATATGACAGTAACCTGCAACAAGAGAAAACTCACTTCCTGATTACTGTACAGAGACTGATCACCTGCGAGTCTTATGAGATGAGAAATTAGTACACATTTAGTAGTTGTCCATTATTTTTATTTTGAGAATGAAAAGGTGGGGAAAGAAGTTCAAAAACCTAACCTCATCTTCAAGTACACAACTTAATAAAGTACCTGCAAAGTACACATTTTTTAAACTTGTATAATCTACCACAAATACTTTTAATCTACCACAAAAATCTAAGGTATTTTTATACTTTTAATAAATAGTTTGAACAACAAATTAATGTAACTACTAAACTCACAAATTTTACACTCTATGCAAAATAATTGTTTTAAATACAAAATATATGTAGTTTAAGATCAAAAAGGTAGAAATAAGGAAAGCTGAGTGTAAAGGTGTACATTTGACCTTCCCTCAACGTCACAGTAAACTGCAATTTGTCATTTTTTTAAAAACATATATTTAAATTTAAATTTTCAGTCAAGATGGATATTTTTATTGTTTTTTCTTCATCTTTAATTATATTTTGCATCACATAAATGTAATACATGTAAATGTAATACATGCAAGTAGTTGAAAAGGTTGTTATATCCAGTCTATGTATTTATAAATACTCTTAAAACAAACTTTTGATATCAAATTTATGTATTCAAAATTACAACTATTAATACCTGAAATAAGCAAGTTGTAGACTAACTTGAAAAAAAGCATCAGGACTCAAATTATAACTTTTAGGGACATTTTTACCAAATTGATCAAAGTGGAAAACACGCAACTCCAAGTCTTTCGTCAACCTTTAGCAAAAACATAGATTTTTATTATAATAACACAATAAAGTGCAAAGATTTTAAATAAATGCTTTGATATATTTTTTAAATGCCAATAGCCTAATCTTATTTTTGTATTATATTGTATATTTTATACTTTAATTTTATAAATTTTTAATAACAAAAAAAAGTTTGAATGTTGCTAATATTTATTACATATTTTGCTAATACTTATTACAAATACATTTTAAAACATTTATTATATTGACTGTACAAATAATCAATACAAATAAAAACTTTAACATACATTTTTAATACTTGAATCTAAATTTTAAAATTTTATGTAAATAAGAAACCGAATTATAAATAATACAAATTGTTTTAATATTTTTAAACTTATAAATTAACAGAAATAAAAAATGCTTTTTCTTATAAAAATTTTAAGTACATTGTGCTATGTAAAAATTCAGAAACAAATATCTTTTACATATCGTCGCATACTTAGTCTTTGCGCAAAAAATTATTAATGTCATCATATTAAAATAGTCATTTGTCTATGTAGTTAGGATAAATAGGATAAATAATGACAATGATTTAACACACACTTTTTAAATATATAAGAAAAACCATTGTTATAAGAAAATTTTTTTTGTCATCATTCTTTATTTTGATTTTTTTGCTCTAAAAAAAAACAAAAAAAGTCCTGTCTGGATACAAGTCAAAATTTTAAAAATTAAAGTATGTAAAACATATAAAAACAGGACCCACCTAAATCCACTATAAAATCTAAAATTAGTTAAACGACCTACTTTTTTTATCATTGTTTTTAGACTATTGTTCATCATATTAATGTCATGCATCATATAAATATTCATAAACCACATGCATGTTTATTCTTTGTTTGCATATTTATACTTACTATCTATACTTATTCTTCATATGCATATTTACATATCCTATGCATATTTATTATTTTTGATATGCATATTTATATAATATGCATGTTTATTCTTCATATGCATATTTATAAGCCATATGCATATTTATTCCTCATATATTTGTTTATACGTCCTATGCATATGTAAAAACCTAAAATTATTTAGATTCTGAAATATTCATAATCTTAGATATACTCCAGAATAGATTAAGAATACTTAAAAATAATAGAGTCATTGTAATGATGTAGTCAGTTAAGGTCATCAATAACTAATAATAGTAACTAAACAAGGTCAACTATTGACCTATACCAAAGTGTGACTTGATCAAAAAAAAAAAAAAAAACTAGAGCCAATGCAGGTCTACAATCATTAATGCAGGTCTACAATCCATATAATTTATTATTAGTAATGTATACAAGTATTTATTTGATTATAATCTTTATTTTACTGCAAAAAATCAACAAAAAAAAAACAAAACATTTAAGTTAGAATTTAAATTTTAAAACAGTAAACAATACCACTTAACTATTAGGTTGAAATCATTAACATAACAAATCATGTTAAATAAAAGAATATTTTTAAATAAATTTCAAACTAAGACTTTTATTACTTACTGATCAACATGTTGTTTCGCTAATTCAATTTCATTAATAATGTCACTGTTTAAGTTCCATTTAAATTTCAAAGGGGGAAGGCTAGACTTTACATTTGAAACATTAATTTCAGAAGTCATTGATACATTTTTAATCCTAAAATAAATAAAAAAAACTATTAATAAAATTAAAAATACAAAATATGATGAAATAAGAAAAATAGACAATAAATAATAAATTAATTTATATTTTACTGGATAAATATAAACTTTATACTTGGATCAGATTGGATAAATTTAAACTTGATACTTTGATTAGATCGGATAAAATTAAACTTTATAATTGAATCAGATTGGATAAATTTAAAATTGGATCAATCAAGCTGCAGATGTTAATATAACAATTGTAAGTAATAGATTGGCAGTTGTAAAAATAATGCATATTAAAAGTATATTAATAGAATTTTATTTTTTTAATTTTTGTAAATATACCTGATATATGCCAAAAATTGAGAATGTTTTTATAGGACTTTATGTTATCTAGAGTATGTTTTGAGAGATCTTATGTTATTTAGACTTACACAATAAAGAGCAACAAAGATTTTAAATAAATGCCTTGATATATTTTTTAAATACGAATAACCTAAACTCATTTTTGTATTATATTATGTTTTAGTCCAAAACTCCTTATGCAAAATATAAGAAAATTTTTAGCACTTTATACTTTTCTTTAACATCATCAACCTATTTAAATAAATAGGTTGTTGATGGTATAAATTAAAAAAAAAAATTTTAATAATTAAAAAAAAACATAAAAAACAACCTGTTAAAGAAAGTAAGGTTTACTTTCTTTAACAGGTTGTTTTTTGTTTTTTTTTAATTATTTAAATTTTTTTTTTAATTTATAAAATTTTATTCATTAGCAAATCAAGTAAAGAGAAGATCATTAGGACACAGGGTCACAGATTTATAGCTATCAATGTTCTCTAACAAATCTACTTTATTCCAAAAATATAACACAGATAGAGCTGTAAACCAAACTTTTACATAAAGATGAATTGTGAAGATACAAACGTGTTGAATTAACATAGTTTGAATTAACTTTCATATTTTAAGCCTAAGATAGCCTTTGACATTAACATCATCAGAAATTGATAAAAGTTAGTTTTATTAATGAGACTCAATTTCACTTGAAATTGATTCGCTTAAAATCATGATACATTGACTCATGGATTTTCCAACTGAAAAAAACTACTGCTACACTTAATCATGGTTAAGTTATACAATACAATCTGTAACATTATTTACAAGGGAAGGTAGGGGGGGGGGAACTGAATAACAAATTGGTTACAAGATAAAGTAACATTCTTTAGTAGTAAAATAAATAAAAAATGTATCAACATTTCATAAAAATAATATGGTTACAAGAAAAAGTAACATTCTTTAATAGTAAATTAAAGAAAAAATATCAAAGTAAAACAGATTTAAATAAAGAACTACATTAAAGACAGATAGATTACAGATTTATTTTTTTAGTACTATTAATAAAAAAAATTCATTTGCTTGAAGTTTTAAAAGAAATTTTATTTAGTAGATTACTAATTAAATATTTTTTAAAAATTTTAATTAGTAAATAACTTTGTGAAAGCTTGGTGAATCCACATCAAAATTAATTCTAAAAAAAGAATGTATATAGTATAAATCTATCTAATCCAATCAAAGTATAAAGTTTAATTTTATCTAATCAAATCCAAGTATAAAGTTTAATTTTATTCAATCAAATCCAAGTATAAAGTTTAATTTTATCCAATCAAATCCAAGTATAAAATTTAATTTTACCCAATGAAAATGTTTAAAAGATTTTAAATGTTTTAAAGTTATGTAAAACAAAAAAAGAAACTAAAAAACTGAAAAAAAAGCTGACCTCAAATTATTTTACTACTTGATACTGTTTTATTTAAAAATTGCAAAAGAAGTACATTTTAATAATAATTAGAAAATAAATTCTAATAAAATTAAATCTAAAAAATTTTTCTCTTAGAAGTTCTAATAATAATAATTTAAATAACAAGAATAGTAGTAATACACTACATAATATTATTTATAACAAATTGTAAGAAAATAAACATTTTCAAAAAACAAAAATGATTTCAGACTTTCAAAAAGACAAATTTGTTGTCTTTCATTATATAAATTAAACATTTTTATTTATCGTGTTGTAAAGACAAAACTAAACAAAGTTGAATTATACATTGCAGAAAAACTGGCAAATACAAGCATTTTGATAATAAAAAGATAAAATGAGAAAATTCAAATTAAATGATTATTATATATAAATATGCATTAATTTAAGCATATATTAACTGAAAATTTACTGAATGGTATAGGAAAAAAAAATCTACTCATCTTCTATATAAAAGCTTTAAAGCAAGATTAATATTTGAAAAATGGTGTCCACCCTATTTATCAGGCAAAGAAATCAACTCAAAAAAATGAAATGGTGCAGACACCATAATTATAAAATTTACAAATAAAATCAAGTTTTAGTTCAGAAAAATCTCTTTTGTCTTTAAATTCCAAGAAAAAGATATAATGAGGAAGGATCTAAATGAAAACTTCACTTAACTAAGGTTGAAAAAGATATAACGAGGAAGGATCAAAAGGAAAACTTTGCTAAACTAAGGTAATATCAGGCACTATAAAAAACTAATTATAATGCGGTAGTGGTGTAGTGGTAGAGCGCTCGCTTCATAAACGGTAGTACCGCACTCAACTCGTTTCTCTGTGCAGCGGCCTTGTTCGTCAAGGTTCGTGTTTCGGAGTTATAGAGTTGAGAGAGGGTTATAGCCACAAATAAGTAGCCTCCTCGTCTGTAGTGGCCTTCTCGGCCTTGAGGAGGTGAATTAAAATAAAAAAAAATAAAAAAAAACTAATTATCACTATAAAAATTATAGTACAACTATAAAAAATATTTTTAAATTACTTAAAACATAAAGTTAAGAACTTGATAAGTTAAAATACGCAAAGTATTTTTTTTAATTAAATAAATATTTACTGTGCAAAAAGTGATCTACATTTGTAATAATACTCAAAGCATGTTTTTGTTTACTTAGCAGTTTATTTATTTTAGTCACGTTAGAGCTGCACCAGATAATGTTTGTATATTTAGGTAGCAATAAATATAAATTAAATGTAAAAAAAAAAAAATGTAAAAAATAACCCATTATTATAACCCCAACAAGTAGTAGTTTGGGATTAGGTAGACTATTTGCTTCCTTTTGTTCATTTCCCAGTTTAATACATCTTGTGTAATGTATATATAAAAGTAAACATTTAACCAAAAAATACAATTAAACAAAATTGACTAATTGATATACATATCTAAAACATGATTGCATAAAGCCATAACAATAGAACCTTCAGCTGCTGAGTGTTCATAACAAAGACCAACCATTCCATTTCTGTTTACTATTAACTAATAATAAAAAAAAAGGAAAAAATTTATAAAATATTTTATAAACTTATTTACAAACTTATTATTTATAAAATTATTATTTATGAACTCATCTTATAATATACTATTTTCAAAATTTTATTTATATCATGTAGAAGTTCAGGCAATCTATTGATAATTTAACAAATAACTGATTTTTGCTTTGAAGATGGAAAGGAGATCAATGTGTTTTGATTTGAATGAGTTGCTCCAAAATCAATAAAAGATCATAATTACTTTTGTAGAGGGAAGCCTTTTTCTGATAAGCAAAAATAACAAAAGTATAATAAAGATGACATATATATATATATATATATATATATATATATATATATATATATATATATATATATATATATATATATATATATATATATATATATATATATATATATATATATGTTAGCTTTAGCTAAATAATAAAATAAAATACATAAGAAAGAACTTTAGTTTCTCAACAGAAAGTTTTTGCTAACAGCAAATTTTCTACCCCTATTTATCTGTTCAAAAATTTGTTTAAGAAAAAACTTTTCTTGATTATGAATCTGTTCTAAAAAACCATTATTTGATTATGAACCAATTCAAAACAACCTTAGTTTATGAATCTGATAATCAAATAAGTCTATGGATATTTTATTATAAATATTTTTATCATAAATATAAAAATTATAAATCATATGCCAACATAATAGCAGCTCAGTGTGATATTTCAAATATCAATCAATAAGATGGTTCATAAATTTTTTAGAGCAGAAATTCTTATATTTATATAGAATAATTTATGAATACATTTCCAAGTTTTATTTGACATATGTTTTACTTATGTTGTACTAATAACATTTTAAAGCATTCTTTGAAAAATATTTACATAAAGTTCTTCACAGTGTGCTAAATGAATTGCCAGGTTTTATGTCTGCCCTCTCTGAATTTTTATTGTTCCCTATGAGGATACCTTTAAAATATGTGTAAAAAAATAATTTTAAATTCACATTTATCAAGGGGTAAATATTGCTTTTTATTAGCACCCAGACCCTTATATAAGTATGGTGGGTATATGCTGGAAAAAACTTTAATATATATTTTTTTGTTATCTGATTGAATATATTGGTTAGAATCAATTATAAAATATTTTCTGGCACCTCAAATTTTCTGGTACCCAACAAATATATAAACCACAAATTTTTTTTTGGTTTAGGTTTGAAAGTTTAAGCTTTGGTTTTGGTTTGAAAGTTTAAACTTTTATTGGTTAAAATATTTTCAGAATCAAGATGTCTATGAATTAATTTTGCCAAATTTTAAAATATAATAACAAAACAAAATATAATATTTTACTTGATCATATTTATTAACAATATATATATATAGTTAATAGAATAGTGTGTATATATATATATATATATAGTTGTTTGGTTGAGCAAGATATTGTTAAAGTGAAAGACACATCTGATTTTTTAAAGTTGATAATTAGTAACAGAGAACTTGATCTTTAGAAGACTTCATGTATTAGGAGATTTACTTTTAGAGGCAAAACAACTAGCTGATTCCTCAAACAAAATTTGTAGAGCATCATAATTGGTTTCCAGATTTTTTTGTAGTTCTTTCTTCCAAATATATTGTCTTCCAAAATATATTGTTTTCAAAACTGCTTTGTCCCACGTCTCTCAACTTGGAGCAAAATAATTTTGTTTCATTATCACTCACATCAATTTCAACTTGTAATAAATTTAATAGTTTCAGGGGATACACATGCTATGTTCTGCAAAGAGTTTTGTTATCTGATACACCAACTTAAACTGTAAGTTTGTTTCCACCAGTTGAAAGCATCATTTTCTGTCCGCTAAAAATATTTCATTTTAAGCACTGAGGTAATGAAGGTCAATGAACTGAGATGGGACATCCTGTTCCAACAAGTCTAATATCCCCAATACACGCTTGGAGTTAGCTCAATCCCAAGCAGATGGTAAACACAGTTATTAATCTCTTTAAATAATTAAAAAAAAAAATGCACAGATTATTATTCAACTCTCTTCAAATAGCGAGAACATCCTACCTTCATATCCATGTCTAAAAATTGAATTTCTGGAGCACCAAGGTCTGAGGTTTTGCCTCTAAAAGTAAATCTCCTAATACATGAAGTATTCTAAAGATCAAGTTCTCTGTTACTAATTATCAACTTTAAAAAATCAGATGTGTCTTTCACTTTAACAATATCTTGCTCAGTGCTTAAAAGAGTTTCGGGCAATTGTACATTCTTGCTTTGGATATGAGTTATAGGAAAACATTTTTGAGGTTTTTAAAACATTCAAAAGTTCTTTTTGTCACATACAAGGTCTTGCTGAAATCTTTGACACAAAGTTGTCTTTAACTTGGAAAATCTACATTATAATGAATCATGTAATTCCATTATGTATATATATATATATATATATATATATATATATATATATATATATATATATATATATATATATACATATATATATATATATATATATATATATATATATATATATATATATATATATATATATATATATATGTATGTATTGTATTGTGTTATATATATATATATATATATATATATATATATATATATATATATATATATATATATATATATATATATATATATATATATATATGTATGTATGTATTGTATTGTGTTATATATATATATATATATATTTTAGTAGCCTTGTGTTATATATATATATAACACAAGACTACTAAAAATTTGCACCAAAAAGAATTGATTATAATTGTCATTAAAATTATATTGTTGTTTCACAACTGATCAAATAAGTAAAGATAATAGATCATCTTATAACTGAAAATGTCCCATGATGAACAGCGTAGCGAATTTTGACCTTAAGCGGGCAAAGAAGGTTTTCAAAGTAATCTGGACTGAAATCTCGTAACTTAAGTTGAACTCTTTTTTTCAGGTGGTCAAGATTTTTTGCTTTGAAATCATTGGAATACACTCTTTGTTTTAGATGAGCCCAAAATAACTCAATGGGCCTTAAATGCAGTACATTTGGTGGATTATTATCTTTAGAAACATAGGTTATATTAATGACAGCTTGCATCATCAGGCCAAAATATATATTTTATATTTTTGTGACGCAAATTGATAGAGAGAAAAAGTTTCTTTTGAATGCATTCTTTGGAATATTTATATTATAGATATTATTTTTGTATCAATGGAATTATTCTTAATTGCAAAGAAATAGATTAGATTTACCAAATCTACTGATTGCAATCTACTGATTAGCAAATCTACTGATTAGCTTAGATTTACCAAATCTACTGATTGCAATCCATACTAAAACTACCGCTTGAAACTTTGATTTAAAAATATATTTAATAATAATTTCAGTTTTGTCTTTATCTTGACTATAAAAGCCATCATTTCCTGGTGTGTTTTGGCTGCTCAATGTAAAATAGGACTCGTTATCCATGATAATTTCAAACTCATATGACGGTCTGGTTCTTTCTTTCTTTTAAAATATTTAAGTCCATGTATGTTTAAAATTTTATAAACATAACTTCTATGAATTCCATATTTTAATGCAAGTCGTCTCAGGGAGATTCCAACTTTATTTTCAACCTTTTTAATAAGTAATTTTTCTTATGTCCAATTTGTATGGTTTTCTGCCGCTTCCCTACTTTCTTTTAAGGTCAATATTGTCGTCAACTCTTTTAATAATATTATAAACTGTTCACCTTGCAACTTTGATTTGCATAAAATGATGCACTGTAAATGTTTACCTTTTGTTATTAAAAGTTATATAGTTTCCAATAAGGTTTTGTTTGTTGTTTTCTTTAATTCTATCCATTTTATTTACAAAATTTTAATTGCCAAAACCAGTATCAGATTATAAAATAAGAATGTCTAGTATATATATTTAACTTCGAACTGCAGAAACATTAGAATTTGTTTGTGAGTTACGAACGTTCAAATTTTGTGCAAATTTATATAAATATATATATATATATATATATATATATATATATATATATATATATATATATATATATATATATATATATATATATATATATATATATATATACAGTACTGGACAAAAGTCTGAGACCAAGAGTTGAAAAAGACTAAAAACTGATTTTAACCATAAAATTTTATTCAACATAAAATAGTAATTCAACATAATTCAGAACACAAAAATTTATTGTCAGCATCACTGATGATGTGAGGAAAACTGATGAGTAATACAATTGTCATATATGTAGTATGTTGCACGCATAACTTCTTTGAACTTTATATGAACCATGCACTACATTAATCAGTTTTGCGTTGATATTTGTGTTAGTTTATTACTGCGTGATGGCAAATTATAGATTACGTAATAGTTTATAGCAGATAATAAACATGAAAGTGTCCTAGGATTGACGCATATTAGCGCTGTTGTGGTATTATGTTGTTATATACATGCATTACATACATACATACTGTATTGCATATTTATATAGTTATTGTTTAATGAATCTGGCATTTGCTGTTTGTGCTACAAATTCTCATTTTCGATTTTAGCATTAATTTTCTTTCACTGAAATGTGTGAGTTACAAATATCAGTTCGAGCACAGATCAGTATTTTAAAAGAGGAGGGATACACCGAGAGAAACATTGCTGAACGTTTGTCTGTTTCTAAAACTGCAGTTCATAACACAATAACTCAATTGCAGCAGAATGGCAGCTTAACTTCCCGAAAAAGATCTGGTAGACCAAAATGTACCTCTATGCAGACTGACCGCTTGATTCATCGCACTTGTACTAATTCTCCAATGTCATCATCCACAGTAATACAACACAACTTGCCATCCTCTGTTACTGTTTCATCCAGAACTATCAGACGAAGACTATCCTCTGATTTCAACCTGCATGCCCGGCGTCCTTCCATTAAACCTAGGCTTTCTGCCAAAAACATCAAAGGTTGGATTGCCTTTTGTCAAAAGCGCAAAG